CAGCTCGGATCTGGAGGAAAGGGAGCATGGGCCGAACTGGGAGGGTGGAGGCAGGGGTGCGCTGTGGGTTGGGACTGAGGGGCACTGGCAGAGCTGAGGGGAGCAAAGGCTAGACTGGAATAGCCTGTCTCTCTGTCGCTTTCCAGACCCAAGGCTGGTGGGCGGCGGCTGGGGGGCTCTGCCCTTTTTCCCCCGGTCCCCTCTAACCCGATCTCCCGTCTCTTTCCCAGGGACGCGTCCATAGTGGTGACAACGTCCGGGGATCACCAAGCCAAAGTGTTCTGCGTTCAGCGCCCAGATCGTTAGCATTGGCGCCTGGAGGGGAGCGGAGCGTTGTGGGAGCTGAGAGCAGTGCATTGTGGGATGGGGGGGGGAAATAAACCCAGCAGCAAAGTGAGGTGGAGCGATCCACGGCTGGAACTCGAGGGGGGTGGGAGGCTGTCGCGTACTGCACGGGGGACCCCGATCCTTTTCGCATAAAGTGGTTCATAGCTATCGCTTGGCCATCTCCGCCCTGTTTAGTTTTAGGGCTAATCCCAGGGTTTTCTATGAAATGTTTTAATTATATAAATTATTTCACGTACCGGATCCCGTCTGTTCCAACGTCTCCCGCGTCAGCCAGGGCATCCGAGCGGCTCCCGCCAGTTGCACTAGACCCTTCTTTGGGATCTAGCCCCGGGGGGGCGGGAATGTGCTGGGTGCGGCTACGGGCGGATCCTGTGGGGCTGCAGGGAGGGGGCAGCTGGGGTGAAATGAGAAACGGATCTGCCCCCCTCTTCCTTGCATGTGGCTGCTCCTGGGAAGTGCTGATGAGAGGCTGGGGTAAGGAGCTCTGGGGGTGCCCCATGGGGAACTGATTCCCCTAAATTGTCTTCGCTGTGGGAATCCTTTGTCTTCTCTCCCCTCCAAAGGCCCTGTGTCCCAGCAGTTCTCTGTGGGGCCCCAGCGGGCTCCCTCTTGTCTGTGCCAACCGCTGGCTCCCTGCCGTGCCGGTTGGTTCCTGCCCGCTGCCATGCTGGACCTGGTTTGGGCCTGTCAGCCAGCTTCTCTGGGCAGGCTGCAGCCCTGGGATCTCGGCCACATGCTGAAAGGCAGTCGTTTGGAGTTCCTTGCCCCCTGTCCCGGAGTCCCCTGGCGATGCTCTGGAACTGCTCCCCACAAAGCCAGTCAGGACTCTGGGGAGCCTCCTCTCCCTCGGAGCAGACTGTCTTCAGGGCAAGAAGCTCACACGGCTTCACCTCCTGGGTCTGACCTTGGAGCATTCAGCATATGCCCCTCCGTGCGCTTCCCACAGCGAGTCCGCCCCGGTGGGGTCCTGGGGAAGCCAGAGGGTTCTGCACCCCCACTTCGCAGTCAGACGTGACTCTCAGCCAGCCAGTAAAACAGAGGTTTATTAGATGACAGGAACATGGTCTAAAACAGAGCTTGTAGGTACGGTGGCGAACGGGACCCCTCGGCCAGGTCCATTATGGGGTTCAGAGAGCCAGACACCCCCGTCTGCCCTCACTCCTCGTCCCCAGCCAGCTCCAACTCTCAAACCCCCTCCAGCCCCTCCTTCTCTCGGCTTTGTCTCTTTCCCAGGCCAGGAGGTCACCTGATCTTTGTTCACCTTTAGCTATTTCCTTGCAGGGGGGGAAGGGGCCCTGGCCATTAGTTGCCAGGGAGACAGAGTGTCAGGGATTTATGCACCCTGGCCTTTCCCCACCACCTAGAGACTTAAGAAATGCATAGGGGAAACTGAGGCACCCACACAGTATTCAGAGGAAACATTAAGAATAGTTTTCAGAGTAGCAGCCGTGTTAGTCTGTATCTGCAAAAA